TATGTGCTTCTGTCCTTTATTTTCTATTTTTTTCCTACCTTCTGCTAATTCAGTAGACAGAAATTTTTAGTTCTACTGGTGAGTATATTTATGTCTTCAAATAACATGCTTTAATGTACATGTCTGAAATCATCAACTTCAAAAATGAAAATATAGCTATTGACTCCCCTTATAAACAATAGGAAAATTAATTCCCTTCTACTTCCTTACTCTCTTCTCAGCCCCAACTTCTCAGTTCAATGGTATGCTCTGGGAATTTCTGTCTTTTAAATTATGAAGTTATTTTGCTGTGTGTGTTTTGCTTTAAGGAATTATAAGGGCTACCTTCTGTTTTATACATTTTCCATATTTATTTAAATTCAATTTTAAATATAATTTCAAAATGCATCTCTATTCTATCACTTTCCTTTCCAGAAACGCCAGATGCTTTTCTTGTGAGTTCTTTGTTTCGATTAATTTCTCTTTCTTTAATAATTTATTTATTCATTTGTTGTAATTTGACCAAAAAGAAACACACACACAAGGAGAGAGAAAAAGAAAGAGAGAGAGAAAGTGAGAAAGCAAATCTCCAGGTCAGGGACTCGAACTGTGGTCAGCCATGTGGGAGTGTCCAGTACCTTAACCACCATGGCACCTACTGGCCTCTTGACTCATTTCTTAATTAACTGAATCATGTTTTCAAAGATTCCTTCCCTACTTCCTTTCCCCCAAGAAGGATATACAAATGTGTTAGTTCCTAAATTCTACAGACTTGAATCATTGGTAAATATCAACTATAATGAAATTTTGGATCCCTCCTTTTTTCCTTCCATTGCCTTCATGGCTTCATTTTTTTTCTGGACTCTAATGTCAGAGTCAAAAAGCTGAAAATGTGTTCTAGTCCACTTTTAAAACCACACTGGGTAATTGATAAAGAACAGAGGTTATTTAACTCACGGTTTTAAAGTCCAAGGTCAAGGGGCCACATCTGATGAGATTCTTTCTGTGGGTAATGAATTCTCTGCAGAGTCTCGCAGTGCAGGGAATCACATGGCCAGGCAGACCAAGAGCAGATCACATATGTCTATGTGTCTGCAGATCACATATGTCTGTGTGTCTGCAGATCACATATGTCTGTGTGTCTGCAGATCACATATGTTTATGTCTGCAGATCACATATGTCTGTGTGCCTTGCAGATCACATCTGTGTGTCTGCAGATCACATATGTTTATGTGCCTGCAGATCACATATGTCTGTGTGTCTGCAGATCACATATGTCTGTGTGTCTGCAGATCACATATGTCTGTGTGCCTGCTTTTCTTATAACGCTACCAGGAGTCAATCAGGAGGACCCCACCCGGAGGACCTCATCCAATCCCAGTCGCCTCCCGAAGACTCCACTTTTCGATGCCATGATCATTTTAAAACTCCACCCTCTCAACATCATTAGAACGCCTCACCAAATTTCAACACATGAATTTCGAGGGAACACATTCACCACAGCAAGTCATCCACTGTTTATTTTCTTTGAAGATAACTGGCTTCTGCCTGAATTTTCATCAGCAGGTGAAAATGTAATAGTTTTATCAGAGTATACGTCTCCTTAACTTTTTTCTCTGCATTAAATTTGCTTCATAACACTTTTTTTAACTGAATGTTTATCTCTACCTTCACTTTAGGAATATTTTCTTCTAGTTCCTCTTTGAATATTGTTTTTGTTGCATTTATTTTATTTCCTACTATCAAAGAATGTAAGTTATTCTCATAGCAGTTCCAGGTTTTCCTCTTCATATCTGGTCAGTGTGCCAGTCAGAGTTCAGCAAGGAAAACAAAACCATATTACTTATTTTAATGGCAACAATTTAATGTAAACAATGGATAACTAGGTATAAAATTATTAACTAGTGAAAAGGCAAAGAGATAATGTTAAGGTATAATACGGACAACAACTATAGGGAGCGACTACCACCTTGAGGGTTGGGTATACAAAGAGCAGAAGTTGGTGTTAACACTAAGTGCTGGGGACGGCAGGTGGCGTGGTGGTTAAGGACGCTGGACTCCCACATAGCCGACCCCAGTTCCAGTCCCAGACCTGGTGGCTTGCTTTCTCACTTTCCCTCTTTCTCTGTCTCACTCTCACTCTGTCCCTCTCTGATCAAATTTAAAATGAATAAATTAAAGTTAAATAAAATAATTCTTTTTTTTTTTTAGGAGAGATTTTCACTATAGGGTGCGTGCACTCGCCAGACAGACAGAGAGACATAGAGACAGAAAGCGAGAAATCACCCCCCAGGGGGGATGGTCATGCCGCAATCCCTTCTCCTCCATTCTCCTCTCGGGATCTTGGGCACGCACGCACACATGCCCAGCGTGAGTTTTAAGCCACCGGGTCCGGGACGTGAACCGCGGTCGACTACGTGGGAGTCCAGCGACATAGCCATTATGCTAACTGCTGGTTCCCAAATAAAATAATTCTTAAAAAAAACAACAACAACGGGTATGCTCAAGAAGGTCCCAGGACCAGAACCCAGTACTTTTCCCATCCAGTGTGTTACCCCAATACTACTACCTGGCCTGAAAGCTTTTTCTTAATCGATGTCACAGCCTGGAGGCACAGTTGGTAGTGCTGGAAGCTGGAAGCTAGTTGGCAGACAGTGGGTTTGAATCCCCGGGTCTGCTTGAAAACCCACCAGGCACACACACATGCCCAAAATCCTAGAGGGAATACTGGGTGAAAAAAGGATTGCAGTGCAACGAGCCCCTGTAAAAGGTGCCTCTCTCCCTCTCTCTTGCACACACGATCATGAATAAAATAAATAAAACTTAATAAAGGAAGGAAAAGAGAAAAGAAGAAAGTAAGGGATAAAAAGGAAGAGAAAAGTTTTTAAAAACTAGTGATGCCTTGGGGGCCAGTAGGTGGTGTAGTGGTTAAGGTGTTGGACTCCCACATGGCTGGCCACGGTTCCAGTCTCAGATCTGGCAGTTTTTTCTCTCTCTCTCTTTCTGTCTGACTCTCTCTGGTGAGTGCATGTGCCCTGTAGCAAATTTTAAAAATAACAGTGATAAATAAAATGAAATAAATCATTGTTTTTTAAAAAAACCTGGAGATGTTCTCCCTTCCCCCAGAAGTCTTGGGTTAATGCCTCTTAGTTAGGGCTGACACGGGGAATTTTAATTCCCAGTGGATTCTGATATGCAGCCAGGTTTTCATACAGGAAAAACTCATTGCACATAGATCCACTATCAGAGAATTCTGAACAGTGGATGCCAGACATCATTAGGAAGCAAACAGTTGTTGACATCCAGAAGACTAGGTTGGCGGGGAAAGTCTGATAATTGACTTTTCACCATGAGATGTCGGAAGTGAGCAAATACCCAGAAGGCTGTGCACACTTTCTCTCGCTCTCTCTTTCACACACAGACACACACACACACACACACACACACACATTCATTTTTCTCCAGAAGAGAGATAGCATTAGAAGAAAGTTATGGGTGTGAACTGAAAGACAAATGGCAACTTCCTTTCATATAACTGTAAAGTAGCGTGGGCTTCATCATCTAGAGTAATATAAGAGTTCTCAAAGTGTGGTTTCTGGACCAGCAGCATCAATATCACCTGGAAATATTTTAGAACTGAAAATTCTTGGGCCCCACCCTAAACCTGCTGAATCAGAAACTCTGGTGGTGGGGACCAGCCACCTGTGCTCTGGCAAGCTTTCCAGATATTTCAGATGACAACTCAAATTTGAGATTCACCACCCAAAGGAGTGATATCTGGAAACAGCATATCAGAAAAAAAAAAAAAAGTGAACTCCTGATAGGCCTGTACCTTTGAAGCCACAGGGACCACTCATTACGGAAATGCAGAGTAGCCCTCCTTGCCTCTGGTACCAGCCATGTCACCATGGCAGCACGGATGCTCCTGGAACATCTGCACATCCTCAGATGTTCACCACAGGAACATCTTTCCTTAATGGGGCAGTTGGGGTGTAAAAATCACTCTTATGCCCTTTGATCTTTCACCTTTCTGTGGAAACTAGCACCATCTCATTGCCTTTTTCTTCAGCACGCTAAGAACATATTTTTTAATCTATCACAGTCCCATTTTATCTTCTCAATCAGTGTAAAATATTTTCAAATTATAACAATGATCATCTGATGGTCTTAGTTTTTATCTATTGCTGGGATTTTGCTCCTTTAGTGATGAATGGCCCCTGGAGTGTGTTACATTAGCTTCTTGGCTGGGCATATCATACTGTTGACACTGATGGAGCTCAGAAGAAACTAAAGCCCCCCCCCTTTTTTTAAGTGTATTATTTGTTGAGTGAAAGAGTTCCCCCACGCCCACGTCTTCCATCCAGCCAGTATCACGGGCATGCCCATAGTTGCACCCAACACATTCAGGTCAACCCAGGAAAGGAATCTGGGGCCTGCCCATATGGCTCCAGTATCACCAGCAGTGCCTTACCACCTGCTGGTAGCAGTTGGGCCCCCTGACTTACTTTCCACAGGTGATGTTAAGTCACATCTTCTCTGTCCCAGCTTCAGTGGCACAGGTCATAGCATACTGGTCTGCAGCACTGGAAGCCACATGGCCTTTCTCACACCACTCTCCCCTCTCATTATTTCTGCTCCAGCATTGACAGACTTGGATACATCGTGATTTCTTTAACTTCCTCAGGGCTTCTGCATAGGCTATATGTCCCCTTCACCATCGATGCCCTTTTCCAGTTAATCCCTTCAGTGACATCCCCATTAACCTATACAAGAATAAAGCTTATCAGGAAACACCATACATGGGGCAGTTTTCAAAACCTTTCTAATTCTATTAGGTCTCCTTGGAGAACATATTTCTCTTCCTGTCTTCAATATCTGCTAGGATGACCAGCCATTCAAATTAAATGTCCCAGGACTGAAGCATTTCTAGGGACGTGAAGTTTTTGGTGTTGAGGAAAGCTTGATCTCAGGTAGAAAGCACTTGGCTTCTGCTCGCCGACCTGACTTTCGGTTTCCCAGGATGGCCCACCCGATGGAACCACTGGCAAAGAAAATCTTTAAAGGAGTTTTAGTAGCTGAACTTATGGGCATTTTTGGAGCATATTTTTTGTTTAATAAGATGAACACAAGCCAAGATTTTGGGCAAACAAGGAAGAAGAAATTCCCTTTCATCTTAAAAGTTTATTACAAATCCATTGAACAATCTGGGCTGTATAGGATCAGAGAACAAGATCAAGAAAAATGGCTGAATAGCAAAAATTAGAACCAGTCATCATGCTCAGCCTCCCATCTAAGCTGTTGGAGACCTGTGGGAGAAGAAAGATGCACCTTCCACACTGCAGACGCTTGGTGGCCCCACAGCACATCCTACGGAGTACCAGGGACTTCTGCTCTGCCCTGGCTTGAGTTTCCCACCCACAGTCCAAGTCAACTACTTGTTTGTTGCTTTTCTTCTGTATTTATTGTTAAATATCAATGTTTTACAAATGAAAGACTAAGGAAGGAAAAGGGAAAAAAAAAATTTTTTTGTGTGTTAAAGCTGCTGAGAATCCTGGACAGATTGGGATGAATTGACCATCCCAATGAGATGCCATTATTTTTCCCCCACCAGCAGCTTCTTAAAAACCAAGGACAAGAGCTAAATATTCTCCCAAGGAAGGATCTTGCATGTTCCATTTCTACAGGTTCTTCTACACTTTCCACTTCCGATTAGCCAGTCACTGAGAGCTGCCATTAATTAACAATAGATTGTAGACCAGAACTAATTGCAATACATATTTTATTAATTCCCAAACAAAAGGTTGGCTTCAATTAACCAAGTGTGAGAAATTTGATTATGGTGATTTGCACATATGCCCATAGTTACCATCACCAGTTAACAAGCTCATGCCCCAAAAGCCCTCATTAGTGCATGCATTTATGGCACATAAACAAAAATAAAAAGCTATGATGCCATGGCTTCATTTTTCTAAATTCCACGAAGGACAAGGAAGAAATTACAGTACTATTTATGCAGGATTGTAAAAGCAATCATTACACATTATGATACAAACCCAGCCACATTCTCAAAGCATTTGCCAAGTGTACAAGCCCATATAAAAGAAGTGCCTTGCATGGAAATGCCACCATGGCTCGCATATAGTTGATACTTAAATGTTTTGGGGGGACCAGTAGATTTTCATAATGGTTACATCACTGGACTTCCACATGGCTGACCATGGTTCAAGTCCTGGAGCAGGCAGCCTGATACTCATGCCAGGTGTGTGTGCGTGAGTGTCTAAAATCCCAAGAGGAGAATGGAAGGGGAGGAATTGCTGTGTGGCCATAACCTCTGGGGGGGAGTGATTTTTCTCTTTCTGTTTCTCTGTATCTCTCTGTCTCTCTGGAAAATGTGCACACCCTATATCAAAAATCTCTCGCCAAAGATAAAAAAAAGTTCTTTGACTAATGTTGCTGAGTATTAGAGCTGCTAAGCTTCTTAGAACTAACTCTATAATTATGACACTCAGAAAAGAGAAGTGACTTTGCCAAGATATCACAGCTGCGAAGAACAGCTAGAACCAAATCTCACTATAAACCAGAATTTCTCAATTAGCATTGCTAACATTTTGGGTTGGCTAATTCTCTGTTGTTGAAGATTGTCTGGGCATTGTAGAATGTTTGGCATGCCTAGCTCTACCCACCAGGTTTCATAACATCCCCTCACCCAGTCATGAATTGGGGAAGAGGTGTTGGCAAGGAGTTACGGAATCCCCCTTGACAGAGAACCATTGCAAATGTAGACCAGTAGTTCCCAAAATGTGGTCCCAGACCAGCAGCATCAGTGTCACCAGGAACCTATTAAAAATGCAAATTATTGGGACCAGCAGATGGCATAGCGGTTATGTCACTGGACTCCCACATGGTCAATTGCAGTTCGAGTCCTGGACCCGAGGGCTTGAAAATCACACCAGGTGCGTGTTCGTGCATGCCTGCCCAAGATCCCAGGAGAAGAACAGAGGAGAAGAAATTGTGGCATAGCCATCCCTCCTACAATGTGATTTCTCACTATCCTTCTTACTGTGTCTGTCTGTCTGTCTCTCTCTCTCTCTCTGGCGAGCACATGCACCCTAAAGAAAAAAAAAATCTCTAAAAAAAAAGGAAATTATCAGGCCACACCTGGACATGTTGAATCAGAAAGCCTGGGCATGGGTCCTCACAATAAGCCCCCCCCCCAGTGATTCTGATGTACGTTCAAGTTTGAGAACCGGTGGCTATAGAGCATCTCTAACCCTTGTATGGAGATTGCTCTTATTCCTGCTTGAGAGATAAGCAAATTGAGGCTCAAAGAGATTACCTGCCTTGCCCAGATTCTAATTTAGTAACAGCAGACTCAAACCTTGAAGCGGCCTTAATACACCCGAAATCGGCTCTGTCTCTCTACCATGCCTCCTCAAACACAAGACAGCAAGGACAAAGAAAGTCTGAACTGGGCTGGAGCCTACTTAACTACAACCATGAGCACTACAAAGGCAAAGCCAACAGTCCCACGCCCCTTCCATGGTTGCCACGACCCGTGGGGGGTCTGAGACAAAGAAGAGTCAGAGCCTGGAGAGGCTCATCAAAGCTGACTTGAATGGGTGCCGGTTGTGTGGTGGTTAAGGCTTTAGACTTCCACATAGCCGACCACAGTTTAAGTCCTAGACCCAGTGGCTAGAAAAATCATACTGGGCATGTGTGTGTGCATGCCCAAAATCCCCAAAAAGGGACTATGGCATGGTCATCCCCCCGGGAGATGATTTCTCACTTTCTCTCTCTCTCTCTCTGGCGAACCATGTTCTACGCTCCCCTACCCCCCCTAAAAAAAAATTGGGCATCATAGAAACAAAGGCACTGATGCCTCCAGACTAGCTCTTGATGAGCATTCTGACTCAACATTTATGGAAAATAAATTTTGCCTCCCCAGCCACCCTCTTTTCTGAGAACCTTCCCCACCATTTGGATAGTTACCATATTGTAAGTAGAAGCAGTCATTTTGTATATTGTGACCTCATAGTGACCACAGTCGGTTGGCTTGTGGCAAGTGCTTGACCAAAGCTGAACCAACAGCTCCCTCCCTTGGGATTTTGAACATGGACACGTTAAGATTTGAGTGAATCCCTCCCCTTGAGTGTTGAAACTATGAGATTTCAGATTCTGGAGCTATTGGTCACTGTGTTGTTCTACCTTTCCCATGAAGACTGCTTCCACTCACAACCAAAAGAGAGCTGACTCAAATAAGAACAAGCAAGGACGACATCTTTCACACGATTCAGGAAACAAAGGGAAGTGTACCACAGTTACCTGTACCCCTGATTCAGAGAGCTTGTTCTGGGAAGTTCCCTCCCATCTACATGGTCTGTGGCCTTTGAAGATGGTTCGATCTTCCTTGAAAACCAGAGCCATACTGGGCCCCCTTGGCCCAGAAATTATCACTGGGATCTTCCCATCATGCCCAGTAACAACACCTCAGACTAATGGCAAACTCTGTATGGGAGCCCAGCAGGTGGCATGGTGGTTGGAACACTGGACACCCACATGGCTGACTCTGGTGCAAGTTCCAGACCTGGTGGCTTGTTTTCTCACTTTCCCTCTCTCTCTTTTTCTGTGTGTCTCTCTCTCTGGTGAGTGCCTATGCCCTCTAGCAAATTTTAAAATAATAACAAATAAGTAAATATATTTTTAAATCCACATGGGAAGGAGGAAGTCAAAATATTGTGAGTGAAGAAGTCGGGAGTTCCTTGAGGGTGGAGATTGGTTTAATTGACAAGAAACTGGCATTTTGGAGAAAGCAGAAGAAATATTTTTTAGAACAGCTGTGACTCCAAGCTTTCTTGCTTCAATGGGGGAAGGAGGGTCCAAACTCAGCACCCTCCCCTACACCTCCAACATATAATATTTAACTCTGTATCCCTATTTAAAATAATAACAAATAAGTAAATATATTTTTAAATCCACATGGGAAAGGAGGAAGTCAAAATATTGTGAGTGAAGAAGTCGGGAGTTCCTTGAGGGTGGAGATTGGTTTAATTGACAAGAAACTGGCATTTTGGAGAAAGCAGAAGAAATATTTTTTAGAACAGCTGTGACTCCAAGCTTTCTTGCTTCAATGGGGGAAGGAGGGTCCAAACTCAGCACCCTCCCCTACACCTCCAACATATAATATTTAACTCTGTATCCCTACCTACAAAAGTGTCAGAACAGAGATGATATTGGTGCTTTTTTGCTAGATGGAGGGGTAGAAAATGGGTGGATGGGTGCTCTATGAGAATAGTGTTGTTTTCTTGTTCTCTTTTTTTTTTTTTTTTTAAGTTTTTGCTATAGGGCATGTGTGCTCACCAGAAAGACAGAGATACAGGAAGCAAGAAATCAACCCCCAGAGGGGATGGTCACACAGCAATCCCTTCTCCATTCTCCTCTTGGGATCTTGGGCACACATGCACCCGGCATGAGTTTAAGTCACCGGGTCTGGGACTCGAACCGTGGGTGCCTACACGGGAGTCAAGTGACATAGCCATTATGCCATCTGCTGGTCCCAAGAACAGTGCTATTCTCTAAAGGCAGGATTAGGAGCCCCTGGCAGAGTTACGAGGCAAGGACTTTGGGTGATTCCAGCAACACCTTTTAGATGGAGGATCATTGACGGATGGAGAAAGTGGCTCCAAGGGGTATATAGAGGATGCTGGCTAGGAAGACAGAAGCCTGCCTGGAAATGACCTTCTGTGTAAACCCGAGCAAGTTTCTTTGCCTCTTTGAGACTCAGTTTTTCCATCTACACAAATATGGGGCTGTCCTAGTTCTACCCTCTCTGGTCTTTTTAATCTCCCAAGGCTAAGGAAACTTCATGGAGTCGGGGTGTCCCCAAACCAGTAAAGCAGTGTTCCAGGCCCTCTGCAGAGTAGGTCTCATTGCCCATCTGCTGCTCCTGTTTGCAGACGACATCAGGATGGGTGGGCAGTTGGGACATCTCCAATTTCTCCAAGAACATCACTGCAGATGCCTCTGAAAAGGGTGAGACGTGGGCCTTGTGGCGAGTGAGAAGTTTGGAGTGCTGCCACTCGGTCCTGCCTGTCCCCACGCTCACCAGACAGGCACTGAGAACTCCCTGAGGGGGCGGTGAGGAGCACCTGGCAGAAATGGTGCCCTTCCTTATCCTGCCTAGGGTCAAAGAATAAATTCCAGAAACTGCTGGGACAATATAGCTGCTGGAAACAATGCAACACTTCAGCCTAGAGGGTCACACAG